TATCTTTATTTAGAGTTGATCTGAGCACACTGTGACAAACATCTGTTCCCATTCTAATGAAATGTTGCACCGTGCTCAAAAAGGGGCGAGGGTTCAACTGCAGAACCTGCAGGAGGTCAGTTCAAGCAGCAGTTGCCAGCGCTACTCGGAGCATGCGAAAATTTAATCGAGGTTCGGGTTTATGCTACTAATCTCTGTATTTCTGATCAATAATGAGCGTGAATTTTATACTCAAACGGCCTGACAACGGCAAGAGCAGAACCCTCCTGCACTCTAACGGAGATGCCAACCCGGCAGCACGTGAACCTCCCGTCACTGCTAACTACTGAAAGGCTAGTTAAGGTGCTATAAAGGCATCTTTGTACACCGGCAAAGTACCCAGTTCATGTGTGAGTCACATATTTACCACTTGCCTTCATAAGTTGTGGTGTGGGAGCCCGCGCGTTAACCAGTGATCACCATGACACCACCATCACAGGCGATCATGGTGTAGTCGCAAGTGACGTCACCTACAATTAGATGATCAGGGTCCGTGAGTCAGCCTCAGCTCGTCTTCCTTCTGGTCCGAACGAAGATACCATCCCTCGAACCGACGAGTTTGTACAAGGCTCGTTCGAGGACAGACTTTCCGGGCTTTATATGGACGGGAGATAGGCCGTCCCCGCTACTCACTGTATCGGCCAGATCCCATTCAAAGACAGTCCCCGCGCTCAAGCAATTCGTGGGCGTCCTCCTTTGTACAAGTAGTTCGGTCCTCACCCTCTAAGATTATCCCACTTCTGTAGCTTCATAGTACGTAACGAAGACGGTGTGGCCCTCATAAGTGGCAATTCCGACGCCTCTCTAGTTGTCCCCCCTCTCACCGAAACTCGAAGGGCATTTGCTGCACATTTTCAGTTTCATTTCGTTTTTTTTCTTCTACAATTAGATGGCATTGGATTGGCACTGGATGGTGGAGAAACTAAGCCAGGAGGCGGGCAAGATATCGCTTTGATGATCTGAAACAGGGAAATCCGGAGAGCTCGTCGTCCAGAAAAGCTGCCAGGTCCATAGTCGGGGTATCTCACTAAGAGTTTTTTTAGCGTTTTTCTACCCTGGAGCCTAAGTAAAAGGCTTCCTTCAAAAAGCCACGGTATGATTTGAATGAAAGTGGAGTCCCTGTGGCGCATTCCAGTGAGGGGAAAAATAAGCTTAGAATGCTCTTTTCGCTTACAGGGACTTCACAGAGAGCCCTTTTCATCCCCATCATAGTGCCAGGAAGGGACATTTCGCCTTGAGAACATCCACTTTTTTTGAGCTACGATGTTTTCTTTTGCAAGAGATTGATGGAGAGGAAGGGGCGGGGAGTTAGCCCTTATTAAGCGGCAAGCAATTCAAGAAGGACCTTTCATCCAACAATCTCAGTAGCATAAAACAATGCGTCGATTGGGAATTTCTTGGGTACTGGGACTGAAAAACCGAAGTATGTCAGTATGTTGTTAGTATGTTTGTGGTTTTGCTCGGAAGAAACAAAGCAGGGACTACCGTGGGAAGTGTCGCAAATGGAACTCGTTCTCCTTTGCCGAAGGCGCTGGGAGCAAAAGCTAGACAAGAGCAGTAAGAGGGCATGGATTGAGCAAGATGACAGATGATCTAGCTAGCAACGCCAGTAGGGTCGCTTGTGCAATCTTAGGCCTCAACACCTTTATTTTAAAAGGTTCTGACGCGAAGCGAGGTGTAGGGTAGCCCTTGGCGGTCCACAGCACTTTTCCATACAAAAGGCTTCGATCCCTATGAGTGATTGTGGAACGTGCCCTTGATCAGCTCAGAAGTTATTGTTGTTCTCAATCAAGCAAAACTTACAATTGTGCTTCAGGGAACCAACGTTGCTGATCCTTTTTCATTGCTTCAATATGGCTATTTTGAACAGTCGCTTCCAGTCTTACCGGGTCCTGCACCAGCTTTTCTGCCTCACCACCGAGGAACATGCCTATCTGAAATGAGTTGTATCGTCTATACCGCTCTATAATCGTACTCCAGATCCCAGTTACCTTGTGAATGCTTCCTTCCAAGTCTTTCACCATGTCTTCGTACATGATGAATAGCACGTTTGGTTCATTGATCAGTGGGAGCCAACCAAGCAAATGATCGAAGTAGTCACCGAAAGCGAGTTGTCCCGAAAGGAACAAATCCACGAACGTATCCCATTCACCGTCCGCAAAATTGTAGATTTTGAAGTTGCGATTGTGATGAAAATAACTGTAAATGGTGAATTTGAGCTTGAAGTCAGGGACGTCACCTACAGGTGTGAACTACCTCGTGCAACAGTCCTTTGGATTCCTCACGCAGTAGATGTATTTTGCCTTAGTGCTTTTCGGAACGTTCAGGACCGAGAAATGAGTTTTCAGGATCCGAGGATGAGTGACGGTGGAAAGAAACTCTGCGCCCATGCGTTCAATCATTGGGCTTTGGACACACAGTTCTGAAAATAGGCGTCATTCGATAATCTCCTCTAGGACGGGCCATGCACTTGCCTTCTGTTAGGAATGTCTAAGGACCTTGCGCTAAGAAGACAACAGCGAACTAGTGCAAGAGGGCGTGCACCAAGGGGTCACTGCGCGAAGTCGCACGCAAAACCCCTGCACTATTCACAACCAAAAACATTACTCGCGTAATTTTTACACCGTGTTGACCTTGTATAGCCCAACTAAAGTCTCATTCCGTTTGTCGAACCCGAAATACTCTTTTCAGGTTTTTCAGGTTTCCGCGAGGAAGAACGCCTCTTATCACTGAGAGGGAGTGGGCGTGGCATTTGAAGATGACATAGAATGGGTCACTCGCGAGATATTTCAATTGGGTAGATGTGCTATTTTGTTTGATGTTGGATAGAGGCACGAACACAACCAGACGACGTCGTATGTTGAGAATCCCCAGCGGGGGGTCGTATTCTATCGCTGGGAAGAGGAAAGGGTCGTTTGCGTTTGGTCGCTGTGGGAAGGGGTCGTTTTAGATCCGAGAAAATTTTTTTATACTTGATTTGTCTTGTTCCACGGACGCTTAAAGGGGGGGGGGCAGGCTCAGATTTGCTCGTTGTTGAGAGAAGGGGGATCGTAATTTCAAAGAATGTCACCCGGCGGCAAGACGTACCCTGACCACAACTGTGTCAAAATGAAAAGGTCTCTACGCCCACGCCCAGCACATCTCAGAGATTTGGAGCGTTTTTTGTGAGGGTTGAGGTGTAGAGCAAATGGTTGTATTGCTCCAGAGATGTTATTGCTAGTTGATTTTTCAACCCTGACCCCCTCCCCCTACAACACCCCCCCACCTCTTGAACCCTGGTCCCGTTTGATGACGAAAATGCTCACCATTTCCTTCTTCAGCTTTATAGTTTTCGCCACGAAGTAGCTGATGGCAGATGTGTTGAAGCCAGGTGGTACCACATTTCGGATAGGTTGCGATGAAAACATCGTCGTCCTCCACTTGCATCATCTTAGCCGACCTGGAAGTTAAGAATTCTCCAAAACGCCCAATAGTGAAGAACGAGAAGAGCGACTTGGTGGCGATCGAATGGACTGCGGTCTTTGAGCATGTCTTAAAATAGCCACATTTCAAGTTTACTCCTACAACGAACCCAGCAACACCCATCCCGAACTGGTATACTTGGGTTAGGAGAAATAATACGAGAGCGATCAACAAGAGCGACTGCCGTCATTCTGATTTACGCCATTGTTGATAAGAAGTGAAAAGATGATGTAATTGTTATGTTTACATACCGTAGATAGTCGACGCAAATGTTACAAATTATAGCCTGACACCAATAATTTGCCGTAAGACCAAGGTATTCGCGGGGCCTCGACTGGCAACACAAAATAATTGCGTGTTTCACTATCAGTAATTGTCATAGCAAAATAGATGGCCTCACTGTTTATGTCGCGCGAAGAGCGTCATAAGTGGGCGCGTGCCTGGCGCGATGACGGTATGTGCGAAGGTAAGTGAAAACACCATTTTCCTAATGGGCTAGAAGCCTGCAAATGCAGCAGCATATCCAACATCACTCACCGAACATGCTGTGGTTTGAAGATCGGCGGCCAGATCTCCCCGTCAATCACGGCTTGTCGTGGGTGACCTTCCGGTTGATAGATGACCGGAATATCAGCACCTAAAGGGATTTTTGGAACAAGTGTTAGCATAACATGAAAGAAAAATTCTATTCAAGAAAAAAAACCCACCTTTCCGAAAGCAGAAATTAGTGTTTTTAAGCTCGAGAGGAGAGCAGGGTGTTTTAGGAGTACATGGCGGAGTACGATCACATGACGGCCACTCAGTCTCGTCTAATTTCAGATTCTAAAAAAGCTAGAGGCATTGACTTGACGCACATAGGGATGTGGTTTAAATGTACCTTCAAAAAAGGAGTCATTGTCACGACGTCTACGCGACTTAGAAGCTCGCTACTCATAGATGAGTGCAAGAAACTGCATGATACTGCCGAGTAACATCTCGTTTTATACCTCTTGCTTAAGAAAGCCACGCCTTGTCTGCGCCCACCCCTAGCCAGCTATTCTCACATGTTCTCCGTTCTTTCGCTCTGCCTCGGGCTTACACCCCCTACAGCAAGGGATACGGTAGCAAAAGGCGAAATCTTGTGAATAAACAGCGTGTTCCAACGTGTTGGAAGGGAAATCTCATAGGAAATCTAGACGTTTTGAAGAAAAATCACTGAAAATGAAAATTAGTGGAAATGTTGAAAATGAAAAATGAGAATTAATGAGGGGCCTAAAGCAAAGATATAGCTCAGCTTCCTTTTCACTCGTGCCCTCAGACAGAAGCTGAGCAAAGGCAATTTCCAGGCACCGCAACCCCGAATAAG